GTTGAATAGTTTCATTCTATTCAAAAAGAACACAACAAACGAAAAATACAAGAAGAGAAATTAGAGATTCAAAGATTTTATATTGGACCATGTAGAAAAATGACTGAACCAAACAAACAGTGTGGAGAGGGAGAAAAGTCAAGGAATGAAGTGGATGACGAATTTATTGGGTCAGACTAGAGTGCAGTCACGCCTCCGCCCTCGACCTTGAAAAGACCACCAGTGAAAGAGCCAGTAAATCGTCTCGAGGGTGGACTGAAAATTCACAAAATCATCCATGTTCCTAACAGTAACAATAAGAAGAATGGTGCCCTGAGAAAGTGTCGTGTGAGTGCTAAGCACAAGGTTAGAAAAGAAACAAGTATCATGTGTGCAGGCTGTGGTGTGGCTCTCTGCAAACTTTCATGTTTCAATGTTTATCACACGAAGAAAAACAAATAAAGAGGTGTGGAAAAGCATTTATTTCATAAAATATTGTATTTTAATTAGTTCCCAAAAATTTCGTTTTCAAAAACCAATTTTTGTTGAAGTTGTTTAGGAAAAACTAACTTACATGCATTTCACCGACATAAGGTTTAAAGGGTCTGCCAGGACAGGGGTGGGATTTAAATACCCTTCGTGCCAGTCAAAGAGTTATTCAGTTTTTAGAAATGCGTGTATGTGAATTAGTCATCCCACAATTAAAAACAATAAAATGTGATGCTAGTAAAGCTGAACATGTACCAAATGCAAGTTCAGAGGGCGATACCACTAGACCCCCTGCTTGTTAAAATAATTTTAAAGGGTAACAAGCTATTTAATATCATCAATAATGTAGGTTGTACTGATGTTTGCACAAATATTTTAAATACAGTATTCATATAATTAATCTTCACAGAATAACAAGGATTATGATATTTTTCTGATGAAAGATATAGGGTGCATCTGTTTGGTTTCCTTATTTTTCGTGTATAAAGTTTTGACGGTTGGGTACGGCAGCATAACTCCAAATAAATTACTCTATTCTAACATATGGGCCTTATCTTTCTTTCTTCTTTTTGCCTTCCTTCAAATATAGAAAACCTTCATTCCAAGCATATTTTTATATGCTCTCTGTCATGTATTGATAGTGATGGCCCTCAGCTGCACTGAGGAGACCCTCTTCCTGTCCTGCTTCTTCTTCTGGACAGTCAGGTTGCTCCACTGAGGGATCCCTAGATACGTCTTGTCTAGCTCCAAAAATCTTAAGCACCACTGTAGTAGCCCAACTGTTTCATGTCTTTATTCATCAGCTCATCAACTATACCACAAATAAAGTTATGGAAACATGTGCTCACCCACACACATACATACGTGCATGCATGTGTGTGGGGGGGGGGCGGGGATCTTGACACAATGGAAGATTGCTTTATATCCCAAAGGCACAGTTCAGACTGCCATGGAGACCTCTGGACAGCTCCACCACCCTTAGTCAGTCAGGCTGGCCTGTTGTTTCTGGGTTCTGCCACTAGGAAGCAGATGGGGAGTTGGTCCCTGGAAAGTCACACAACAGACTGTCGCTAATGTGTAAACAGCTGCTCACTTTATGACTGCAGTTTAGTGTTTTAGACTTCTTATATTGAAATTTATGAATCAAACTAAATTTTCCCACAGAACTGAAAAAACATTGTACTTGAAAGCAAAAATGTATGTTTTGATTAATATTTAAAAATACTGAGATAGTCACAAAAGCTTTAATGAAAATACTGTGATAAGGCATGCACTTTGCCAACATCATCTTGTAAATTAAGAGTATTCTGGAGTAACAAGATCTTCAGTTATGTAAGCTATATCTGATGCCACTGTTAAAATTAACACATTGCATGCTTTACCCTTTTACTACCAAAAATAACTCAGGTTGAGAGGATGTCATACTGCCAGTAGTCAATTTCTGCCACTTAGTGCATCTCTCCATATAAATTTGATAAAACTGTTTCTTTGATAAAAGGTTTCTTGTGGGGTCATTCAGATCACTAAGGCACTGTGAAAGAGTAAATACAGTGTGCTGTTCCTCTAATCCAGTGTTCTAATTCTATTACATTCTGCAAGCTAGGAGGACTACATGTCTGAATCTTGCTAAACTGATAACTTAAAAGAGCAGTATATTTTGCAGGATTTGCAGAGCTTCTAATGCCATTTAAACAGAAAAAACAATCTCTTCTGCAATTTAAACAATACACTCTTGAAGAAATGAAATGTAACATCTGTAAAGTGTTAGTGCATGAGAAATTAATTCATGATGACATATACTTATCAAAATACTTGTACTCCAAATAAAACGCAATGACAAGGAGTCTGGCTAAATAAGCATCTCAGATGGACTATGCATACACAAAAGCTAGCGAACAACTTATGTAAAGTATGTTTTGGCCTAAGGGTAGTTAGGAGAGTAACTGGACTAGAGACTGTCCACACGTTATGTTATGCTCATTTCCAATCTTTGTTATCATACGGACTGATATTTTGGGGCAACTCGCTAAATGCAAAATTGATCTTTAAATTACAGAAGAGAGCTATAAGAGCTATGACCCAGGTCCCAAAAAACGATTAGTTGTAAACAAATTTTCAAATCATTACATATATTACCTCTACCATCTTTGTACCTATACGAAACTTTAATATACATAAAATCCAATTCGAATGATTTCACAACCAACTCAGGATTACACTCATACAACACAAGGAAAAAAGATGACTTGCACATCGTCCCATGTAATACAAGTCTATGCAAGAACAACTTTAACAATGTAGGACTTCGATTGCTATATAATCTGCCACCATATATTAAAGAAATACCGGTACTATATAAGTTCAAAAACGCTTTGAAAACTTACCTACTCGATCATTGGTTTTATAAAGTGGATGAGTTTCTCTCGTGTGAGACAAACACTAATCAATTATAATCACATAATTCATGAATAATCGGTTTTTGGAATCCCTCCTGTGCAGTCTTCCTTTCTTTCTTCCAGCAACCAAGACAACACAGTCGGAGATGTACCTGAATGGGCTACTCTGGAGAGATTGCAGATGCCAAGAAGCTGCACCAAGAAGGGAGAACAGATGTAATGAGATGTTGCAGTGTAGAGTCTACAGTGAAACGTTACACCAGTGCTATCATCAAATTCACCAATAATATCTCAAAGGCCGCGCCATAGCTTAAGCGGTTAGTCGCTGGCTTCCCACCACTGCGGTCTAGTCAAGTGGGATTTGTGATGGACAAAGTGGTGCTGGGGCAGGTTTTCCCCGAGTACTTCGGTTTCCCCTGCCAATCGTCATTCCATCAAATTCTCCATAAGCATTATCACCAGTACAGGTACAATAGGACATATGGAAGTCGATGTGCCGAGGGCACCTAACATGGATTCCACCTCACACTATATGAAATCTTAACTATTGTAATCTACTGTAAACAATTTTAAATATTGTAACTTTATTCTCTTATTGTAATCAGCCAATGTACAGTAACTGACTTGTCCTATATCATGTAACAATGATCTATAGAGACAAAATAAATAAATTAAAGATGTGATACAGCGAACGTAAGTCAGAAACAAGGAAAACAGAGATTGACAATATTTGTAAAAAAATTCACAGAGATGAACAGGAAATGAATAAAACCACTTCATGAAAGTAATTTGCAGCTACAGTGTCTAAGGTAATTAAATTAGGATACTGAATGAGTTGGGCACACAACACACATTAAGAAAACAGTGTATTAGCACCTCATAAAGACGGCCTACTGAGGGGATCATGGCATAGGTAAATGGTATCTAAATAAATGTTATGCAAGAAGGGGGCTGTGGATGGAGATGGGTTTCTGATATGGAAGGTAGCCAGAAATATGCTAAAAACAGTTACAGAAAGTGAGAAGGGGTGGTTGTCAAGCTTGAGGACTGGGTGAGGGGAGGCGGGGCTAACTCATCACTGTAGAAAACAAGTCTCAAGGGGCCTTAGACATAGAGGATTAACTGATCAGGAAGGGTTCAATGGTGAGTTCTTGTGAACATGTCAATGAACTATTCATGTTGCATTTCAGCATCCTGTTGTAATGATTACTTAATTCTACTGCCTACAATTCAATTCTTCTCTGTAATTTTCGCTAATGTCTGGTGTTACATGACTGTTCATCACTATCAGGTTACATTCACTTGTTTATTCACAACATGTTTTGGCTCACACGACCATCACAGCACATATTAACTACATGACACATATTAACTACATGATACAGTTGTTTCACTGTTGTTCATGTTCTGAGAGAGAGAAAAAAATTGAATTCCTTAAAATTAACGTTTTAATTAATTAAAATAAAAAATTTTATTTCTTGGAGGCTGAAAACTTGCAATCCATTGTATAGATATGGTCTCAAATTGCAGTTGTGTTAATATTATCTCTTCATGTTTCTTCTTTCATAAGGTGTTCATTGTTGATGGGCAAAGACTGACAGTATTCATCCACCATCCCTGAACACATCATAACACTGAGAACACAAAGACAGAATATCAAGACAACCCCAATATGAGGAGCCGCTGTAAAATAACCAGACTGATTTTTTTGGAGACTCCCTGTGGCCCTAGCAACAGCGAATGGGGTGGCATATTAGCTTCTTCCTCTCCCCTCCATCAACTCTACCATTTCCAAGGCCATATGGCCAACAAAGTGGTAGCAGCCTTTCTTTGAAACAGACGGTGTATCTGAGCTCTGTCGGAATTACATTAAATGTTAAAATAGAGCAACATGTCAATGTGAAAATTCCTCGCAAAATTTGGGAAATCTGCTATAGAAACATACAATTTGTTGATGGAAATTTATGGTTATGAGTGTCTATCTCATACTCAAGTTTTTGAGTGGTTCAAAAGATTTAAAGAGGGAAGGGGAGAGATCAAAGATGATCTGTGTCCGCTGGCCTTGCATATCAAAAACAGATGCTGACTTTGAAAAAGTCAGTGAGATTGTTCGAAAAAATCATTGCCTGAGTATTCGAGCAATTGCCAAATTAACTAATAATAAGAAAGTGTTCGACAGATTTTACATGAATATTTTAACATGAAAAAGTGTGCTCAAAGATGGTGCCGAGAATTCTCACTCCTGAGCAAAAGGAACCTCAAATGAACACTTGTGTTGACATTTTTCAAAGCACTGAAAATGATCCAGACTTTTCAGGAAATGTAATAACTTATGATGAATCATGGCTTTTTTCAGTATGACCCAGAAACTAACCGTCAATCCATGGACTGGAAGACTACCAGGTCACCAAGGGGAAAAAAAGAACGGCACAGCAAGTCCAATTTCAAAGCAATGACCAACGTTCTCCCGCCCCCCAGCATCTGAGGCACTGTCCACATTGATTGGATGCCTCAAGGTCAGACTGTTAACCAAGTCTACTGTAAGGTTTTGGCAACCCTTCATGAAAGGGTGAGAAGAAAAAGACCTGAAATGTGGAAGAACAGCTCATGGATTCTTCGCCATGACAACATGCTGGCACACAATGAACTGCCTGTCAAGATGTTTCTGGAGAAGCAGATCCCCATGTTGGAACATCACCATCTCACCTGACCTAGCCACATGTGACCTTTCTTTTTATTTCCAAAGATCAAGTCTGCATTAAAAGGAACCTGTTTCTAATCCCTAGATGCAGTGAAGGCAAAAGTGATGGAGGTAATGAAGAAGTTATCAGAAAAAAACCTGCAGCACTGCTTCCAACAATGTATAATTTGCATGGAACAGTGAAGGTGATAACATTTCCAATGTATGATTAGTTGAATAACAGATTTTAGAGAATCAGTCTGGTTATTTTACAGCTACCCTACGTACAACTGTACTTTGAGACCAAATGCATATAATGGGCTACAACATATTTTCGGTTTACAAAAAATAACATCTAGATTTTAACTACTAATGCCAATCTTCTAATTCATTAAAACATTAATTTTTAAACAAAATTAAGTTCCTCGAGATAAGCAAAATACAGCGAAACAACTTACACCAGACAATTAACATACCTGAAGATGGCCATGTGAGGCCAAAATGTGAATAAGTGACTGTAATATTATTGTGAAGAGCAATTACACAACCATGAACATTAATAAAAATTGCAAAAGATGGAACTTCAAACAATGGCAATGAACCTTTTAGATCTATAAAAAGTGGGGAACTTTCTAAGCAGCTAAGAGCAACTATTAAGTTCCTCAAGGACTCTGCTCCAGTGCTAGGAGTGATCTGAACCACCAAAGAAGATAGTATATCAGCAGGGAACTTCCATCCTGAGGTTTCATAACAGAAAATTTAACTCCACTGGGAACACCATATACTAGATACAGTATACAAGTGTTCCCAGACCTTATGTCTACTGAAATTAAAAGCGTGTACACAACTGCAGTGAAAAATATCACATTTATTTCAACAGTTTAGATACAATTCACTTTACTGATGCATGATGTGGACCTCATGACATATTTCAACCTTACATAATCTTAATGCCTATATCCAAACAGTATAATTTTATGGATGAGGTTCTCATAGTGGGGACTATGAAGAATACAAACTTCTGGGTTGGCTTGGAATGCTATCTATTTCAACAGAAGTCCACTGATGTTTCACAGGAGTGCTGACTGACTTCCACCAAGCCACATGGTGTTACAACCCAGATCATACTCTTCAGTATTAAGTTTCATTCGCATTAAGATAAGTGACATGCATACAAAGTATTATGCAGAATGTAAATGTAAGCTGAAAATGTTTTCGCTCTTCTCTTCCAACTTACACTATCACTACATCAATAAGAAGTCCTTTGGCTTATGTTGGTATATACTCCACTACTATTTATTGATATCAGTCAACCGCTTTAATATCAGTCAAATGTCACAAACTCACTACACTTATTTACAAAACTTGAATACTAAGAATATCCAAGACGTGACAACTAAAATAAGGTTTACTGTCTGTTTCCAAAAACACTTTTAGAAGTTTGATGATTTAATGACCCTACCTCACGCCTGAATTCTTTTTCCTTGTATAAGTGTTGCCTTTGAACTGGCGGACTGGATTGAACACATATGCATCTTCTTCAGGACTCTGGAACCTTGGGCAACCTTTAAACCCAAGTCCAATAGTTTTTACAACATGATCAGGTTTCACCCTGAGGCTATAAGCTGGAACAACTACACTGTCATATGTTCTCGCTGTAACTTTTGAAACTTTGTTTAAGACTGACCTGAAGCTAGAACTTGGAACAACTGCACTGTCATACTGTCTCACTGTAACTTCTGACACCTTGTTTAAATCTGAGCTGAAGCTGCAACTTGGAGCAACTGCACTGTCACATGTTCTCGCTGTAACTTTTGGAACCTTGTTTAAGTTTGAGTCAAGTAAAACCATATTTCGTTTTAGAGGTTTGAACTCCCTCTGATCATGCAATTTTCGTTTCTTACCACCTCTTGTGAATCGTAATGGCAAGGTAAAAGAGCAATTTATACTGCTGTCTTGACCAACAGCTTTAGAATTCCTATCTGTAACACAAATCTTCCTCATTGCCAGACATCTGTAGGAGCTTATAGCGCAACCACTCCAGTTCAATTTAGGTGTTTCCTCTGGAGAATCTCTGTATATAACCTTGGCACACATATAGAGGTACCAGCACAGGGAACAGTTGCAAACAAGAGACAAGGCATATTCAATAGACATCACTTCCATTATATCATTCATGGCATAACAAAGGAATCTTTTTATTGCTGATTCTGGTGATAAATTTGACATCAAACCTGTACTCAAATGATGGAATAGTATATTAAATTTCTTTTCCAACATGCATTCATCAGTGAGACCAAATGATGAACTAGAACCACATTTTACAGTACTACGATCTGCAGGACCAACTTTATCTTTTTCAAAACCTGGAGTACAAGGAAATGTAATTAATATTGCTTCACTTGATGTTGCAAATATGTGTTCAACAGTGCATGAATGCCTAGAAATTATTTCCTGTATTTCACTGGGCCAATATTTATTATTTTCTGACTGAAATGGGCTAATCTCATTCTGAAGCAACGCAGCAACAATGTAAACGGCACTTTTTCGGTCTTCATGTGAACACTGTGGTTGATCTGAAGCCATCTTAGAGTCAGTATCCTTTGAAACAATAACTTGTGCTGATATATCTGCTGCATTACAGGATTCAGTTGGCTGATTTACATTACATGTACTTCCAGCATTCATTTTAAAGTAATATGGCGCAGTCACATATATTGATACATTACTTGTATTGCAAAGAACATTAGGAGACGTCAGCTCAGGTTTAGCTGTATTAGCATTAAGTGGAGCCAAAATAAATGCATAATGTGATTCACTTTTTGCATTGTGAACAACTTCCTCAAGCTTTGTATCTGAGGATTTAGATTTATCAAAGCCTGTATCTGGAATTTTTACTTGGCCTGTATAACCTGGAACTGCTTGGTATGAAGCACATTTAGCAATAGCTACAACACATTTCTCTTTGTCTTCCTCCATGACAGTTCACTGTGCTATGTGGGGTAGATTACAAACAGGTGATCACAAATTTTGAGCAACAATTAACTAAGTAATAAATTGTCACTTTTCTTACATACATACACAACTCAAAACGTGTTCAGCCATCAGAATGTTCTTTTCTTCTATGATTTATAGTGAACAACACATCATAATACATCATTTCCTGGTTATCATTTAATATTACAATACAATTCTACACAATAACCATCATTTGATACATTAGTCCACAATCTGACTTTTTAAAGAGAAGAAAAATGATGAGCCATCTTATACATCTTGACCCTGAAACAGACACAATCAGGTTACATACGAAGTCCACACACATAAAAACAACGAATACATTAACCAGCAACACAACACTTCTTTCATTTAAGAAGGATTCCTCTTCAATTCTCATTAAATATGAAGGGAAACCACAGATTGACATATACATATAAGTTAAAATACATGTATAAGATCAAATAGCAAATAATAGGGTCACCTGATAATTAGATAACCTCCTTATATAATGCAATCAAATTGATGAGGATGGAAGTGAAGGGAGAAACCATCCTATTCAAAACTTTTAAAAATGTCCAGTGCTGAGAGACTCATGACCACAGTAACTGGTAAGAGTCATTGAGGACTCAATTTTGTGAGTCTGACATGCAAAAAAATTGTAGCAGCTACAGGTAAAGCCATACAATGCAGCATTATGAATTATGAGATGAAATGATTACTCATGGAGTTCAGTAACATAGGAGTGAAGAGGACCATGACAGTCATGAGCCACTGGCTGTGCTGTTGTTATAATTATATATTTATTTGTTCTCAGATATCAAAAGATTCTGCCAGTAATTATGACAGTTTTGAGAACAAAAATAGGGTAACAATTTATACTCGGAATTACTGGGTTTTTGGAGTTCGTCCATCAATGGACAAAGTCCGAAAACCCAGTAATTCTAAGTTATATACCATCATCAGAGCCCTTTACAATCTAACAATTTAAAGTTTTGCAATAAATTGCATCCTTGATGTGACATGTCATCAATACTCTGTAACTGTATGAACATGCATCACTGGCCAGCAAGTGTCTGGCAATGCATTCCCTGACAACAGCCTATCTCCACTTGCCTTCAAATTCTGCAATATTTACCTGACAGAGGTACAAACTCTTTGGAAACATGAAGAAAATAATTAAAGTTTCACCATGTTAATTCTTGCAGACACAGTTTCACTCCAACTTTTATATTTAAACTATTGCCATAATGTTCAACAGCTTTTCTGAGAAATACATAAGTAACTGATTCAGAAAACCAGTGGTTTACTGTAAGAAGCCTGTACTAAAGATCTTTTATTCAGAACCCTACTGGATCCAGTTTGGATAATTCTCCATGAATCATACCTCATTTGTGGACAAGTCTAAGTTTATGAATGTAAGGAACATTATGACTCACTATTACCCTTTCCAAGTCAAGTTTTATCTAATGTGTCAGAGTAATGTGATTGATGTATTTTCTCCATGGAAGTTCTATGGGAAAGTCTAGGGGGGAGGGGACTTAAACTTTATGTCCCAACCACTAGTCCTTAACACCATCATGAATAAATACTATCCCGTCTAAGGGTTCTAAACATGAACTGATTCAGCTAAACCAGGCAGATACACATCATGCCACAAGTGATGGTATACAGTTGTGCATGACAGGAATAGGTGAGTGGAAGCTGTAATGTGATGGGATAAACCCTCACCATCATCATATAATTTGCTATGAACAAAGCCAGGCAGCAGAATGACCTGCTTCCTCTCTCTGGACCATTTGATCAAGTGAACTCATCCACACGTGACTTTGCCCAAAAGTATGGAATATTATTTCTAGGTGTACGTCATTACTGGTGGCATTGGTTCTAATAATAAAGTATGATGCATAAAGGGCAATAAAATGAACTACTGTTATACCACAAGGATACTATGAACTTAACTGCTCAAAGCAAGAATTGAGGCCACAGAAACAGCTGCTGGTAGCGAATGGCTCTGAAACAACATTCATTTCTAGGCACTGACTGCAAATCAACGGAACAGCATCCGTTGCTAGGCAGCAGTATTTCAATTGACATGTATCCTACAGTTCTGGATTATGTCCCCTATTAAGAACGATTATTAAATGCAGTTTTCTCTTAGTAATGGGACCACAATGGCAGGCCAATGCAAGTTTATTCATCTGCATGTAATGACTTAATCTTGTACAGAAGTAAAAAATGTATTTAGACAATTAAATATTATTCACTGTCAAACTATTCTTGTCAATAACCACAGTACATAAATAAAGACCCCAGTTTTACTTTTCTTTGCACTTCATGAACTACACAAACATAGTCATTTTATGTTCTTGTAAAGATTTCAACTTCAACTTTCCTCTGGGGTTCATCAATATATTCGCTGACCAAATACAACTTACGTATCAAACCTACAGAATGCCACCAAACCTTCACTCACCTTCACAATGTGTGTGTCACGTTTCAAAATAATCTATTATCGACGTCGGACAACAAGCATATCCGTTCTGTATGAAAGTTTCTCCAGGTGAATATTAGAGCGTACTTTCAAACTTGTTTTAGTGACACATATGCACTGAAATATAGCGGCACAAAGCGGCAAAAGTACTATTTATATCGACAATGAAAACTGTTCCGAAGACCATAACCGTAAATCATAAAAACAGCCTGGCAGTCTTCCGATAAGGTATTATTAACCCGTTCTTTCCACAACAGCTTAATAAAATACAACGCTCGTAACTAACACACCCAAAACCAAATAAAGTTCGTAAAATGCCACTCTTGTGGAGGTTAAAAAGAACTTCCAAACGTTACAGTCAAACAAAAATTCAAATAAGACAGCCTACACCAATAACAACAGAGAACAGTTACAGACTTGCAGATCTACACCTCAATCCTACAACGTGCAACGATGTTGCAACGGTTGCAACTCCGACCGTACTTCCTGCTTCAGCCGCCTGATAGCACATGAGTCGCACCACAGAAACGCCATCTTAGTCGATGTACCAGCAAGCCAGCGAGGCCACCGTAAGCAATATTGCTCTTGCGAGAGCTCTCCACCAGTAATAACCCAGTGCGTACACCGGAAGTGAACTGTATTGTTAAACTAACTCTATGGTTTTAGTCCGCAAGCGAATTATAACCGAAATTAACGACCGTGGGGATTCATTGTCCTGACCACGCGATACCCTCTATCCGCTAAAGTTGGCATTAACTTCGCCGACAAGAGGCGGTCGCTCGGTAATCTGTATTGTTAGGACCAATATAGTTTTATAATGCTAAACACTGTGATACCATTCTTTGTAGATAACCAAATTATTTTTTTATTTTGAAAACAAATATAAAAAAATGGCCTACACAATGCCCATCTGAGCTCTGTAGCACATTTTATAAACATCCTATTCTACTACAGCGGTCACCCCGCGATTTTTTAATATATCTCTGAACTCTAAGATCCCCCATACACACACAGTTTGGCCTTCCGATCGACCTTACAGGCAAAACTGTGACAGTTTACCCCCTCCCTTTCCTCCCCATACACCCGCAGATAAAGCAGCAGGCTTCATGCCACAATCACGGTCTTCCAGCCTATAATGTTGAGTCACACACGTCACGTGCTACAGTCCTGCAGGCAGAACTGACGGGTTTCCCACAGGCCAACAGTCCAAACGATTCGCCGGCCGGCCGCACCACTCACGTCAGTTTTGCCTTCCAATCGACTTTACAGGCAAAACTGTGACAGTTTACCCCCTCCCTTTCCTCCCCATACACCCGCAGATAAAGCAGCAGGCTTCATGCCACAATCACGGTCTTCCAGCCTATAATGTTGAGTCACACACGTCACGTGCTACAGTCCTGCAGGCAGAACTGACGGGTTTCCCACAGGCCAACAGTCCAAACGATTGGCCGGACGGCTGCACCACACACGTCAGTTTTGTCTTTCAGTCTTCAACTGCGCAGGCCAAACTGTGTGTGTATGGGGGCCCTAAGAGTATACTGTTAATATTTTGCACATACACATTTCTCGCCATGTCAAACCCTTTCTGTATATGCTTTCTGCTTCTTCAAACCAGGTCTTTGAAAGTTTTTATGACATCTACGTTTTGGCTCCTCTGTTGGAATTAGGGCAGCTTGCTTCTTGTGCTTTTACACTTCCATTGAACAATCTTAATTGGTTGTATACCATTGAATTTTGTTGTAATGTTGTTCATTAATCTCAACAGCTTTCCACGGGTGTCTTGCCATTGTTTTGGCATCCCCAGAGTTTATCACTAAGTTGATTATTGTCACCAATACGTTCTTGACTTCTTCCTCCATCTGAATGAACTCCAACTCATCTAATGATTTCTCTAACAATGTCTGGTCTTCTTCTCACCAAGTTCCATCTGATCGGTTGTCTCAGGGCTTTATTGCTTTCACTTGTCTCTATGTTATACCATTCCTTTCGTCTTCTTGGCATTTTCAGATTGGGGAAGTTACTCATATTAGGTTCAACATACCCTTGGAAGCTTTCAGCACCTGAAGGTTGTTCCTTCATACAAAAATTATAAACATTTTAAGAGAATACAAAAAAATCACTGTAAACATTTATAGCATTAATAGTACAGATTTGGACATTATGGATTATGTTTCAGTGTAGTTTAGTCTGGCAAAGGAAAATCTGATACTGAGTCTGCCCTCAAACTGCAGAAGAAAAATGAAGTTGAGATCGGTAATTTTCTTCATTCACGATTTTCAGCAACTCATACTGCTGAACACATTTCATTGCAAATGAGAGGAAATTTATTCAGAATGGTGATTAATGAAAATATAAAGGTGTGCATCATATCTGACGAATCAACCATGGTAATTACAACTGTGTTCATAATACATTTACGGTGTGAAGATGATTCAGTAACTGAACCAATAATTATTTATATATTTTAGTATATCTTGAATCTACAACAGCAGAGAACATGTTCAGGAGTTTAACTGATGTTTTAAAAAAGCATGATTTGGAGGAACAACATTTGTCAATAAATCTCACATAATAATAATAATAATTTCTACTAATGGAGGCAGCATGATTCTGAGGATAAATTCAGGTGTCTCCCACAGGATTTTGAACAATTTCCAAGTATCATTATATGGTACTGTTTAAACCAGTGCTTGTAATAGACTCTGGGTGATGCTACTGATAATGTAAATGGAAGTAAATCACCTAAAAGTAATTTTAGAGAAAATACATATACTCCATTTGTAATTAATATAATAACAAACACGCAGTACTCCATGAAATTGCAGATTTAGAGGTTTAAATTATCAGAATTGGACATGTTCTCTACCCACTTTGTTCAGCAGGTATAGTTTTAAGAGCAGCACTTCCTGTCTGAAAAACATATCATATTCTGTATGTGTAGTTTGATAAGCAAGAATAATTTTCTGAATTGGGAAAAAGGATGGAAAACACTTCTTACATAATTTAGCCCTAAAGACTGATATAGGAACTGGGAAACTCAGTCAGTATAGCAACAGGCTACAGGCTGGATGGCTGTGGTTCGATTTCCAGCAGGGACATGATTTTCTCCTCTCCACAGCAACCAGACTCACTGTGAGGCCCACCCTGCCTCCTATAAAATTGGTACTGGGAGTAAAGTGGCAGGGGAGTGAAGCTGCCCATTCACTTCCATCCAGTGCCAAGGTCAAGAATGGTAGTGCTATACCTCCACGGCGTAGTGTTTAATTAATTAAGCATAGGGGAAACTTTACCTTTATGATGGATATTTTGGAAAAGATTCCATGCTAAAAAATGCTTTAGTCATGTTTTAAAACTCTGCAAAAAGCCAACAAACTGATAAGACACACAATTAAAGCAATGAATGGTCTTAAGTACTGGTACACATGAAAAACAAATTTCCCAGTTGGACAAATGCAAAACCTTTAATGAAATACCTCAAAAACAGCAGCTCAGAAAATACTCTTTTCCAAGAAATAAACTTAATCAGTTTGCAACTGATAATTTGACAGCCAGGCTTTATCCAAAAATCATCTTAAATTTGGAAACAAAGAATGTGAAAACAACACTGGCAATCAACAAAATGAAAAGCTTTTAGCCCTCTTTAATTTATGGGATTTAACTATATGGAAATGTGACAAAATACTTTCACTAAGACTGGAGAGCATAAAGGAATTAGCAGAGTAGAAATCAACTATTAAATTTTTAAATTGACCTTAAATGTCTTTCAATATTTTGTAGACATAAATCTGGAATGAAAACTACACTTTCCTGTTCCCCAATGACTGCAGAAGCTAAATAGAATATAAACACAGTAGCTGCTAGAAGTTCAGAAGAAAAACAAGCCTTTGGTGCGTTAAAGGATATTGTGACGTGTGAAAGACGTGTGTTAACAGTTGATAATACTGTGCATTCAACTTAATCATTGACACAACAGCAGTTTCTGAGCCATAGCCTTCCTCACACAATTCTGCCAAATTTGACCTGGTTTTTACTTCTTTGGATTTTGCAACAATTCTCTTACAAAGCAAGGTCATCAGTCATGTCTAAACCCAAATCTGGAGGACCAGGTCCCTGTATTTATGTCCCCAGTGAGAGGATGGCCTAGTCATACCCACAGCCACTGGGTTCCATTTTAATCACCTCCTATGCCTAGCAGGGCTATGATGGAGATGTTCTAACCTCCACACAAAGTAAAATATCCATCTTAATGATCACAAAAATAGGAGGCAAACCCTTGGAAAATTGGGACGCAATACCTTTTGTCAAGATTTGGCACCAGCAACGTCATTTAGCACCTGACACCAGACTTCATCCCACAGCTTTTAGCAGGAATCATCAAAAAATTTTGTAAAATTTGTTAGTTTTTTTTTTTTAAATATGTTCTTAATTTATGTAGATCCTTAACATTTTGTGATCAAGCCCCTTGCTAACAAACTGGTAGCACATCACTGACTTCATGGAACCCAAAGGTTCACTACCATGTTCATACAAGCTTGTCAGTGGCTTCCTATCCCAAGCCAGATGAATCTGGTCCATACCCAATTCTTATTTGTCTAAGATCCTCTTAATATTATCTTCCTTTCTATGTCTTTACTAGGCCTGCCTAACCTGCAGCTTGTGGGCAACATGTTGCCTGTGGAGACACTGAAATAAGAATACTGCTTTCAACCCTTTCCCCGGCAATGGTGTGATAGATCCACAAAGCAGTTCCACCCGTTCCCTGGCAAACAACGAAAGAAAACTTACCACTTCAGTGTTCCCAAGTGGCCATACCATAATCCTCAATCAATCAAAGAATTTATTTGTTCTGAGAATCCATATTTGGAGGTACAACCTCCGGATATAGAACAAGTCAATTACTACATATTAATATAACATACATGTCATACATGAGTCAACAGTACTATGAAACTTAATTACCTACAGATTGTTAGCAGCAGTTCTTTGCCAGGATTAAAATAACATTGTTGATATGTACTGTTAAAGGGATGTTTTGTGATGACCCAAAGTATATTAATGTTTAATTTTGGTAATTAGCAATTGCTTTACTTTACTTTAATCAATTTTGAATTTGCACATATCTATTCAAGAAATTTTGATATTCAAATTTTGTGTTAATATAATTTACTGTATTGCTTTGCATTTAGTTCCAGCTTACCCAATACAACACAGGGTTTTTGAGGATGGAAAATGTCAAGGATCTTGGCTTTGGAAATCTGCGTTTGACACCAATGAGTCATAACTCATCCTTGCCAGAGGCATGCCAAGGATCACATTCGGAACTAAGTTACTTGTTTCAGTGTGTCGAAGTACAGATCATCATTAAGTGATAAATATTTAAATGATTGAGGGTGGTAATTACCAAATACACTCCTAACTATAATAAACTAGTGCAAAAGATGCACCGAATCCTGTAACTGTCCAGATGAAATATTTCTCTAAGAAAATATTACATATGGTCACATAGCATTTTCTTGAATAAAACAATGCAAAGTATAAAATTTATTAAATGGATTTGACACCTGTTAATCTATTGTTTTTCATGTTTCTCATGACACAATTTTAATTCCAATTAGAATATTTTAACATTTAATAAATTTCAAAACATAAGGGCATTACATAAACAATAACATGTACAGTATACTCCCAATGTGTAAACATTGACCAGTGCAGGGAGGTACAGCAGATAGAAGGGAGGGTGACTGTAAACGCTCTATGTACCTGATGACAGCCACAATAGGTCGAAATGTGTAGTACATGCAAACATTCTGTGAGTTTATACAACTATGCTGACTGAATAATAATAAACATAATATTACAAAGTTCATGTTGAGGCCATCTAAAACTGGAGGCGTGGATAACAATCAAAATGGAATTGTCAATATTTTATTGATTTATAGATATTAAGTAAAAAATTAGATTTTCACAGTCGTTACAACCATTCTTGATCCAGAAAGTAACTTCCACTTCTTCAAGATATCCAGGGATTGGAAATGGCATTCAGTAATGTAACTGCTTCATTGTACTGTTCCAGATCTGCGACACACATACACAATTACTACAAACTGCAACTCAGACACGGTGGGATGTTAATGCTCATTAGAATTTCTGTAATAATTTCAGATTTTTTTCTATCTCAAGTTCAAACCTCTTAAACACAAAATAGTGATGTAAGACAGATAAGGGAACATTTATTTTCAAGATGAAACATTCCGCTGTCCTGGAATGAGTTCAGCCCACAGCTACCAGTCTGTTGCTGTCATGGGAGGAGGCAGGCATATGGGCATGCTGTAAGTGATGGAGGTTGCTGGTACATGTACAGCAACTGACAGTTATACATGGTATGAATATTTATTTAACCATGACATGTCAACTGCAGAGTATATATAATTTCAAATGAAAAATAGTGAGATAATTATTATGAACGGTAAATTTGGAAGACTGTGTCAGAAACCAGTTTTATTTTGAGGCACTGTCCCAGCACGTCTGGAGAGGCATAAAAATCTTCAGTCAGTATAGCTGGTCTCCCGGCTGAGATTCAGTCCAAAAATCTGCAGACTATAAGGCATTATCACAACATTCATGAATTGTGTATTGGATTTAACTAAAGTAGCTTATAATTTGAAAACAACAGAATATACTAACCAAAATTGTTTGTAAACTCAGGGGGGAAAGAGAGATAGAAATCACTTGAAACAGTATTCTTTCCTTGTACTGTTCCATGGAACTCCACTAATCCTGACAAAGGTTCCTGAAAAGGTTCTTGCATTCTCACTGTCACAACCTGGTTGTCAGTTGTTTTCAGTTCTACTGAAATTCCATTAGGATGAGTCTGTAACAAAAATAAAACATGCTTGTGACTGGGTGACAGTGTTGTTTATTGGTACTGCCACATACTAGATAAAAGAAAAGCTATCATTGCAAAAGGCCTACAGGGTTGTGAGATGTCAAGGCTCCCATATTTTCTCTACACAACTGGCACACAGATGGCAATAAGGCTGTCAGCCTTAGGCACTGGCCACCCTTTACCCCCCAGAAAGATTCCTGGTACTCATTTCTGTTAAGAGGCTGGAGTCTACCCCAGGGCCATAGTGCAGCTAGAAGTATTAGGTAAATTGAAGAAATCCAATTCGTTGGGACTCTCGAACCTATGACCTTCCGGCTTGTAGAACAGTGCCTCAACAGGCTATACTACTGCATGCCACGCCATGTACCAGATGCTTTAAGTAAACTTTGTACTAAAAACAGAGAAGTCAGAAGTCAGTTCTATCATCACACATGAACGAATGCAGGCGTTTCCTAAAGTGACCAACAAGACTGCTCTCACCAGTCCAACAAAGACATTCTGAAGATGCATAACAAAATTTTTTATAACTTAATTAAGTTTCACTATCCTTTCTTTCTCGCACTCTTCAATTTCTTACACTCAAACCACTTAATCTAGGCTCATAAAATGGTGCATTTTAACAAAGGTTTAAAAAATACTCACTTCTTGAGGTAATGTTTTCATTTGTAACAAAATCTGCATTTAGTTTTTGGTTTGATAACAATTACTAAGAACCAATGGAAAAATGTCAAATTTTAGACACACACAGACCATACATACCTCAAGAAAACTGGTACTTACAGCATAAACTACCATATTTTAATCAACAGTAACAGAAAAGGGAGTAGCATGAATCTCTGAGGTTCAACAAATTTTACGTATACAAACTCTGCTGCTGCAACACCACCATCCTAAAATATATTTTGAATTCCAAGAAATATATGCACACACACACACACACACACACACACACAAGCCAAGCATCTTAACCAGTGGCTAAATTTGATTTAATTCTTGGATTATGAATTTATATTATCTAAATATGATACAAGGTGGTACAAATAATACTGGGACTGATTTGTGTATAAACAAGCTGCACTGTGCAGCAGCTGTGCGACCTTGAGAGAGTTAGACCACAACCTCCACCCTCCCTCCTGTTCAGGATAGAACCTGTTCAGTCCTGTCTGGGAGTTGCTAGAATGATGAGCGAACAAAAGGTACCGCAGAGCGTGGAACAACGGATTGTGATCAAATTCCTCATTGGAGAAAACGTCCCGTCTGCTGAAATTCACAACAGACTCCAACAACAGTATGGGGAAGAGTGTCTCTCTCATAGACCCATGTGCTTGAGTGGTGTAAGTGCTTCAGAGAGGGCAGAGAGTGCATGGAGAATGAACCGCATGATCGTCGGCCGTGAACATCCGTCACCGAGCCAAACATTGATCATGCAGAAGTGCTTATTTGTGAAAATAGGGGCATCACTATCAAGGAACCTAGAGCAATACTGTTCGTCAGTGTTGGTAGTGTAGAAGACATCGTGAAATACCACCTGCACTATCGCAAGGTGAATGCACGGTGGGTACCACACACTTTGACAGACGTGAACAAAATGGTACGCATGCAAGCTGCCAGTCATCTCCTACAGCAATTTGAAGATATAGGTGATGCATTTTTGAAGTCTATAGTGACCACCGATGAAACGTGGGTGCACTACTTCATTCCCGAGTCCCAGCAGTCATCACGCAAGTTTATTATTCTAACAGAATCAACATTATTAATTTCACGTAAATTCTCATTCTCAACTATCAGTTTAAAATATATTTTCTCACTGTTTGTATTGAAATATGTGAAAATTTACTTGTGGTATGTAGGGACTTAAGTGTACACACATTTTTGTAGCCTATCATTTGTATCATCGCTTTTATCCTCAGCTGTGGATATGCACATCAGAATATCACATGAATGACTGCTTGGTAATATATATATATACCTTGTACTCACACTGTGCATACATGAATTTGTTCGAAACCTTTCCATCCTGTCCGCATTAAATAGTAATAATTCAATTAAATTCAATTCTTTATTATTTATGTTCCAAGCCAACAGCCGCAAGGCCAATTACAGACAGAGCACAGTGTAGATAAAAGTAATTACATTATAGACAAACACATTATAAAGTCAAAGACAAATTACACCAATAATAACAACAACAACAAAAAGCGTAAGAACTGCTAGCTAACAGAAGTATACTAAATTTATTAAAAGGTTCCCTGCAAGACTCTCATTTTAATGTCTGTCATTATTCTAAGATTTTCTTCTGGATGCAAATTATAACATTAGCTAAGCAACTTTTACAGTTGTTGTCATGGAATTCAATAGCCGGTCTTTCCAGTGCAATATCCTTCCCGTCACTTCATCTGAACACTAAATTTTGTTTCTTTTGGCAATAAACCACAAGAAAACATATTCTGTAACAGATTTACGTTACGCTGGTTATAAGCATTTGTACAAGATACGAAACTTCCTACGACAGTCTTTAAGTGAGCGAAGCTTCCACTAATCGTCGTGGGCCTCACTCGGAAGATACAACTAAATTATTCACCATGTACTTACGTCGAAAACAATTATAAAATAATGTCAAACTCACATTTAAAACAGTTCCCATTATGCTTACTGGTCTTCCCATATGCCGAGCCAAAGCTCCTCCGTTTACTCGCACTCTAGGTTCAATCACATGTTCTTCCATTGTGACAAAAAACGTAAAAATATCGCTAATTCTTACGGAGCTCCTTGTAAGTTTAACTGCAAAACAAATCGGATACACATACCAGCCATGACCCGCGAAAATACCACAGCCTTCTTCACTGCTGATTTCAATGATTACTCTAACAACCATCTTCATGTTGTTCATGTTTTTGTTTGCAAGGCAGTGAGGGGAGTGGACGGGTTAATGTTGCGTAAAATTAATTTTATGCATCCATTTAAGTCACTATTGCCACCGGATTAATTTTATATACGTATCTGAATTAACGGAAATATTTCAGTAAGTCCCTTCATACTACTGCGCAATGCAGACAATTCATAAAAGGCAACGTACTCCTTCCTTGCGTTCCTGACGGGGAGGTTAACATTTCGCATATGAAGGTCGTATTTACTTCTTTGGGTTTGAATTGTGCACATCTGCATTTCTTTGAAAATTTTCCTAGTTTTCCACCACAAATTATGATAAGCAATATGCATTCCGTAGCAAGCGGAAGTATATTTCCGGAATTAACCTTTTCACCCGATTCCGTTTCGTGTTTCTGCTAACATATTATTTCCTATTAAGGAAATCAACCTGTTATTCATCAGCTTTTCTAAGATCTTTGATAAAGTACATGAAAGGAAAACGTGTAAAATCAGAGATGTCCCTGTGCGTAATTAATTACCAGGAGGCCATGAAGATGTATGGGGGAGTGGAGGTAATACTCTGTGGGATTGTGGATGTTGCCACAAATCCATTATTCTCGACCTCTTCTCTAGATTGAGGTGAGTGGTCAGCTTCATGCCCCCGTCATTTTACCACAGTGTAAGTAGCCCCCTGTACTCATTGGATAGAAGGATGGGTGGACCCCAGAGCTGGTCTATATTCTGTAGAAAAGAGAAAATTTTGTTCCTATACACAGAAGTAACCTCAGCCTGTAGCCCATTGTTGTAGTGATTGAGTTAGTCACATAAAAGAGGTATCCGTATAATTTTGCATGTACAATTTAACTCCTTTTTCTAGTGTATGTTCCTTATTTTGGAAAAATAAATGCAGGCTTATGATATCACCTTGTCATGTTTATCTGCCTATGCAGCTCACCCCCAACTTTTCAATGCCTGAACCAATCTTTATGAAACTTTGTATGTATGTCATGGCATTTGAGTCCATCTCAACGGCACACTTCATAAGTCTTCCCCTGAGTAACACCAACACTGCAGCCTCTCAAATTGTTGGGGTAATAACCTTAATATTACTTGAATCCCTGATCCGATCTCATAAAATTTGGTATGTGTATCATACCACCAGAGGCATCTGAAAGGCGCACATAAAAAAATCTCTTTCATTAGTAATACCAACACTATAGGCTCTCAAATTGTTGATGTAGTAAGGTTAATATTACTTTATACCTGAACTTATAGTCAAGAAACTTTGTTTATCATTCCACCTGAGCCCATCTGAGTAGTGTAAGTCATAAGTCTCTCTTGTATGTAATACCAATACTGCATCCTTTAAAATCGTTGCGGTAATACCCTTTACATTTCCTGAATGCCTGAACCAGTTGTCACGAAACTTGGTACATATATCATGCCACCTGAAGCCATCTCAGTGGTGACATTATAAGCCCTTCACATCAGTAATACGAACACTACAGCCTCTCAAATTGTCGAAGTACAGCAATACTCTTAGTATTACTCACATGACAAAACTGACTGCCATGAAATTTGGTATGCCCCTGAGCCACTCTCAGTGGCATAATTTCTTATATTTTAATACATGCACGAAGCAGGTTATATAAGATTTGAGCTTTTCTTATTGACCTAGTTACACAAATATAATAAAGTGTCCTCACACTTCTCGTATAAAATACCCAATTTAGACAGAAAGGAAAGAAGACGATTAGTTCTTCCCAGAAATTCTTGCTATAAAGTGGTTTAACTTTAAATTTCAAATGTATCAGAAGAAATGTGAAATTGTAGAGGTCCATTACATATAAGAGCTAATGACTGTAGTTCTATTTCCTTTATATCTGGACTGTCTTTTATTTATTCTTTCACTTCACTATCTCCATTACTACCTTCATTGTGATTTTACTCCAATTTCAGGATGATAGGCTTTACCTTATTTCTTGTTACATTTTTCCTGACAACATGTGATATCTTTCTTGCAATCTTATCCTTACAAGAGGCATTCATGTGCAGCCCAGGTTGAGTGAATTGCTCACTGGGCTGGGGTAGTTTTCCCCAAGTACTTGGGTTTCCCCTGCCAATTCTCATTCCATCAAATTCTCCATAAGCATTATCACCAGTACAGGTACAATACGACATATGGAAGCCGATGTGCTGTGGGGACCTAATATGGATTCTACCTCACACTACATGAAATCTTAACTATTATAATCTACTGTAATCTATTGTAAGTATTGTAACTTTATTCTCTTATTGTAATCAGCCAATGTACAGTAACTGACATATCATGTAACAGTGATCTATAGAGACGAAATCAATAAATCCATACCTACTGTACTACAAAGTCTTTGATATGTTTAAGATTATTTCTTGAAACAATTTTCCCCATGCCATTTGTTTCTCCCCATATACCAGTCATATCTTTCTTCGACAGTTTACAAAGTCCTTCTTTTCCTGGGTTTCTAGTAACCTTTAAACAAGCTCCTGGCCTTAGAAACCCTCTGACTTCAAACGTTTTCCAAGATTTCATGTTAATCCTACCACACAGCCTCTTGCATGGCTGTCTGCAACAAAAGATATTTTATGTCATGCTTCTTTTCTAACACAGCTTTACTTCTGTCTTCTATTTGTCTTTTATTTACCCACTTTTGTTTCATTTTGCATTTGACTCTTTGAGGTTATGAAGTAAAGGAAAGCAATATACAGTCATTGGTACTAGATGGGCTTCCATTTTTTTCTGGATTTCAAGCCCTTTTCCCATATACTTTTATTAGTTTTACACATTTACTTACATTTTCTTCAGTTTAGTTCTGGTCTCCTCTCTTGATATGCATATGGCAGACATATCTTCATGCTTATATTTCTTTTCATTGAATCAATCTCATGATTTTTCGTGTTGAACTGAGTTCTGACAATATCTTATTTTAACTTAAGTTCCAGTTTTAGCTTTTCACAACACTTAATACACTGAATTTTATGTCTACCCTGGCATTACAATGCAGAATTGGAGCTACAAGTACTTTTTGCATCCTTTGGATGTTCATTTGTTCATTTAACGTGCAAGACAATACAGCATGAGGTGTATTTATCCCACTTGCCAAACTGAATGATAGCTGGAGAATCTAAAAGTTTCAACCGACTACATTTCTAATTTTGTTTTGATTTAAATTTGAAGTTTCATGCTTCCAATGATTTGTTATCCAATGTAATGACCTATAAATTAAATAAATAAGAAGAACGAAAGGAAATGATTACTCAAGGTATCCAGCTCCAAGGACAATACTGTAGGAGTGAACTGTTTGATAGGCACTGAATATTTCTTTATCATATTCTGGTGGAACACAGTTTAAAAGTGAACATCTTTTTATTCATAAAATATCTTTGTAAAATACTACTCAGCAGACAAACCAAAATCATACTTCTCCAACAGTGAAAAGTAATTTTATCACTGCATCATGTTTGTATTAGGTCTGAGGCATAACTCAGTTATATATGCCATAAATTTCAGAAGGAATATAAGGATTTTGAATGTGGCTGGCATAGTGAGATGCTGAAAGTCTAGAGACAGCTTAGACATTATAAGCTTTAGTTTGCAGACTTAATTTTACTTCAGAATAAGATAATAATTTATTTTTTGAACATCAAATTGCTTAAGTATTGATTAATTTTTGTTGTCTTCCAGATGTTTGCCATAGAGGGGTATTGTCACATTTACTATTTCAGGTCAATTAAGGTTTCATCTTTTCAAGGCCGTTGTACATCAGTATTAAAAGCAGAACTGAACAAATTATAAACAGTGATGATAATTTTAGTGGCATTGATTATGTAGCAGAGATTCCATAGGTGGAACTGCAAGAAACTGGACTTGGTTCAGTTGGATAGTATTAATTTTGTAGGGCAAAGATTCAAATTGTCTGTGATACCAAAGATAGGATTTTAATGTATAACATCAGAACTTGGTACACACAAATTGTACATTTGCAGCACTTAATTCTCCCAACAAAGATTAGACAAAAGTGACAGTACAGGAATAGACTGTTGCATCTGTATATGTGTCATTACTTAATTTTCATTATCATCAGCAAATGGGTTTTTTAAGTATATATTACAGATATTTTACTCATTCTGAGTAACAGCTCCACAATAACAGTTTCTCTTTCAACAGAATTGACAAAATAAATTTAAGTATGTATACATTACACAGTTTTTATTTATGGATGTGTTATTAAGCAGGATTTTGCTTTGAAAATTTTTCTGAATCCATCAAAAGATGAGATCCAGATACTTTGTGCGCATGGTTGATCCTACAGGAACTGTCTCCTCTACATATAATTCAAGGGAGGAAAGAAACTCAAATTAAATATTTAATGTCCTTCTGTTATTCCATATGGACTGATTTGCTGTGCACATAATCCAGAGTTAATAATTGCCAAATTAAGTGAAAGTGTAAATTCTGCAGAAATTATACTGTAACGTGTCGGCAAACCAGAGGAGTAACTTCTATGGAAACGCTACAATAGACCGTTACAGAGGAGACAACAATGGCTCCATTGTAATTCTAAATATGGTAAATATACAAGTATATACTACTACTTCTATCTGTTGAGGATGTAAGAAAAGCAACTGGAGGAAAAAATGTTTAAACTTGTTTCAGGTCCAGTATTTTTAAAAACCAAATTTACACTAAAATTTAATTTGTTCATTTTGTAAACCTTGTACAAAGAACAAATAATTATGTAGAAATTATATGGGTATTTCTGTGCCTTATGACCATAAAACATCTTTTGGTATACAAATTTCTATGGATAACATACTTGGAAGCACAAAAATAGCTACGTAACTTTCATGAACTTTCCTTTTTGTGCTAATGCAATTGTAAACCATATAAATAGTACTGGGATTAACTTCCACTGCTATGATACAGACACACAGAATTAATAACTTAGGGAAAAATTGCTCTTAAAATACATAAGACTTTTTTTTTTGTGCATCTTTTATATGAGCATTCCATTATTTGAAATTAGTACTGACATAATCATACCATTCTTGAAATAACCATATTCCTCACCGGAGAATAAACTAATATGATTAAGTAATTTTGTGCACACTATTCTGAGGCTGAAATTGGCAGAGTTAATTTCGACAAATTTTATTCATAGTTTCTGTTCCGAATGAGGTACAATTAAGCACACTGCCACTGGAAGAGGACAGAAATATGGCAGGTTTAAAAAATCAAATATTACATTAATACTGATTGCTTACTTAGCATATTAAGGGATCAAATTTATTTAGAAGTACCTATGATGACATCAAATCATGTTTAAATGCACAGACGATTTGGGGCATATTGTTCAATAAATTTTATCAAAATATAGCCTGTAATAATATATGAATATTTTTATGTACTGATGTTATTTATGCATACATACAGTAAATAATGTACAACGATAAAAACACTGGAAACCCGTTTTTTGCACATAAATATACCTAGACAACCATCATGTCATAGCATTAGCAATTGTATGAACAATATAAACATGAAACTGTAAAATTTCAGTAGTCCATGGTGCATTTTAGGTGTACAGGAATTATACTGTAGTTGGCTGAAATACAATACTTTCAATACATAAACCTGTGCATTGTGGACTAGTTAGAAGTAGATGGACAGCTTAGTTAATGAGCCATAATCTTGTCCAGTAATGTGTGTGATTAAAAATATATTATACATTATTGGCACCTGAGCATACGAAACAGGTTTTACAATGTTACCACATTCCATACTTCTGGAGTAATTCCTTAATCCTGGGTATGAAATAGGAGTCATACTATTTCAAAGACATTTTTAATACTATGTAAGATTTGAGGCTTTCACGGCGGTGACTATGAAGAAAGCAGTCTTCTGGGATTTGGCACCGTGTATATGTGGTGTTAACCAACGTTTCAGAGGAATGTATCGCCCCCATCTTCAGGGTAGAAGAAAAAGTATAAGAAATCTGCAAGTGACAACACCGTGAGAAACGGTAAAGCAGACTGTGGAAATATACACAGCTATGTGAGAGCAGAGAGGGAAGGGAGTCGGCCGTAGCTGAACACAGCATCGAACTGGGACACCGCATTCAGCTTCAGAATACCTCCATCCTCGCCACCAAGACGCGCTATATGGATCGCATCATTAGGGAAGCCATTGAGATCGAACTGCATCCAGGGAATATGAACAGAGAGGATGGGTTTCATCTCAGCAAGTCTTGGAACCTCTTATCTGTTCTCTTAAAAACCCCCCACCGGGATATGATGCCAGATCCAGAAGGCCACAAGGCCATGAGCAACCAACATAACAACCCCCCCCCCNGATGGGGGCGATACGTTCCTCCGAAACGTCGGTTAACACCACATATACACGGTGCCAAATCCCAGAAGACTGCTTTCTTCATTTTTAATACTAATTTTTATCAAATTACAGTTTATATTTATCTTCCAATAGATAATTTCTCACAGCTAATATGACAGAAGTACTGCAAATAAACTATATACAAAATTACTTTATGACCAGTGAAACAGTTCTTAGTATCTTCATTTATCAGCTCTGATAATGAAAACAAATGCACAATTTGAGTGCTGTAAAGAACACACATGCTAAAATCAATATGAAATATGTAACTCTTAATATAATTGCTTTTATAGAAGCATTGAAGTGACAGGATTTTAAAGTATCATGAAATATCACTTCATTATACCTGAATATGCAACATACAGCCTTCAGTTTTAATTTTCATTAAGAACATAATTTAATTTTTAAAGTAAATATTATTAATATATAATTATAATAGCAATATATACACCTGTGAACACTACAATTAAGTATGTGCTGGAAAGAGTTGTGTTTGAAATTATATTTCATGGTTGTTTTAATGTTGTAATTTTGTGTATATCCTTTTACTGTTCTTCAATTCAAATGTAAAATTACCCTTTCATCGAAGATGTTGCTATAGGATTCAGGTTTTAATGGATATCAGTATAAAAGATAAGTCCAATTCCTAGCTGAGATAACTAGATAGTTACTGCTGCTTATTAAATCCATTTGTTAATGGGCAAGTGTAATAACTTAACATACTTCACTGTAATCTAGAATTCATAGACTGTTTAGGATTCTTTTAAGCATCTTCAATTTATTGGACTTCAAATGATGTTATTAGTGTACATTTTAATGACTATCAAAATACATGGCTTTTGGTTAAAACTTTAAAATTTGTAATTAATACCACACATTCAATATTATGATGGACATGGTAGTAGAATAAATAAAAAGGAATTACTCCATTAAATGGAAATAATTCTACTAGTGCTTTGCTTTGCTCCGTAGCCTTTAGTCCACAAGCGAACTATACCGACTGAGTGACCACTGCTTGTCGGCAAAGTTAGTGCCAACTTTTGCAGATAGAGGGTGTTGCATGGTCAGCACAATGGATTCCCACATCTGTCAATCTCTGTTTTCTATACCGGAGCCACCACATTTCCATTAAAGTAGCTCCTCAATTATCCTCACGAGGCTGAGCAGACTCTGTTCAGACCCAATTTCCAGAAAATCTGGAGGCACCGGAAATCGAAACCAGGACCTCTGGATCTGTAGTCAGCAACTCTGGACACTAGACCACAGAGGCGGTCCTATTCTTTCCTGTATCTAAAATATGTATTTTTCTCTTAACAAAAGATATTTTCTGTCCTAGCCTAAGAATTGCTAGCAATATAGCATTATCTTAGTATATTATTTGACTTTCACGTGCATCAGAGTCATCAGAATAGGTGAACGAACTTGCTGATTCAATGTTGTTAATGTATTGTCTGTTACCGGAACCTTCTTGCGTTTCACACCTATTTCTAAAGTTTGACAAACAACAATTTCAAAGCGATTTGCTCAGCTCTTGTCAACATCAAAGCATTCTGCTAACCATTATAAGGATGGTGTATATTGTCTGTCTTTGTAAAACAAATATGATTCCCAATTAGTCAATATTGTCAATAAAAGTAGCAAATTATCTTATAAAATTTAATTTTGTTTTGACTTACTTTGATTTCAGTGCTAGAGAAAATAATGACATATTAAGCAGTACCAGCTTTCCTGATGTAATTGCATTAATAAGGTGAGAATTTTATTATTCTGAGCCTCAGTACTTGAATACTAGTTTGAGAATAGAGGAAGTGAATTAGACAACAGTGCAGTCAATATAAGGTAAGAATCAAAATTACGCTATGGATGGAAACTCTAAGTATTTTTTTCTTATGGGATAGCTTTATTCGAGGAAAGAATGTGGAATGTAAGAAAAAGGAAATGTAATACATCATTCATGTTATATTGTACATAGCAAGAAGCGAAAGTACATGGCACAAAGCCATGATACTGATGAGAGAATGGAAGTTCAGTTGATAAGGAAATCATGAAAACATGCAAAATACCGACATTTTACAAGAAAATTACACAAATTCCTGGGGTCAAGGAAAATGGAAAATATTACATTTGTCAGGAAAGTAAGAATCCTTCCACATTTCTAATAACATACTGTGTGGGGCCCATACTCACACATACAACCCAGTGCCCTCCATTTTCTCAGAACATTCATACATTCCAAAACAAACTCTCTTCAATACCATTCGCTTGGGAAATGCCAAAATAGGCATGCTATAATAGTTACCTACATGTATGCAGGATATTACAAATTAAAGTTTAAATATTGCAAATTGATACAGAAGATGTAATTTTGATAATATGTTGTGAAAGAGTTTTAAATATAAGCATACTTGATCGTTAATGAAAAAGCCAAAGGAAATAATTTAATGAACATTGTCAGCCATACGTAACACATAATAAAATATAAACAATGTGAAAATTTGTAATGACAGTCAGGTCAAGTGTATGTTCTATTATATAATTTGTCCGTGTTTATTAAACTATTTTAAATAATGATATATCACAATGGTACACAATCAAATGTGAACATTTTTAAAAATCCAGAACTTATAAAACACTATTTACTGAAGACTATGGTCTTCTGGGATGTGATGTTGTATAGTTTTTTCAACAAGTATCGAATCTATGTGACAACATATCTGAGAAGACCATACTTTTCATATTCACTGTAATGAGAATCTTAAATCTCATTCTGTATACAAACAATTCACTTGATATGGTAATAACCATAGAACTGTATCATGATACATTCTTAGTACAGGTTTTGAAGTACATAGTCCTTGCCTAATATTTGCCGTTATATGTAGTAGGGGCGTTCCGTAAATAATGCCTCCTATTTTTTTGTGTTAGTATGTAATGTCTGAGATGGATATTGGTGGTGTTGTAGTAAAGGTTGAACCTTCCCGCCAATCTACTGTTAGTTTGGTTGTCATGCGACAGATAGCGACAGCAGAGCAGTCTACCAAAATGGTGTCTGACGTAGAAGTGCTTATGAAACACAGATGTGTTATTGAATTTCTCACTGCCGAACAAATTGTACCCACTGACATCCATCGACACTTGCTAAAGGTGTATGGAGACAATACAGTGGAAGTCAGCACAGTGAGGTGATGGGCAGTGTGTTTCAACAGTGGCGAAAGTGGAGTGCACGACAAGCCACGCCCTGGGCGTCCCTGCTCAGCTGCCACTCCCCACAATGAACAGCGCTTCATCCATACAGATCAGCAGATAACGGCCAGGGACTGTCAATTCTGAACGCTACAAAACGACGCTGACTAAGCTGAAAGCCCGCATTTCCCGAGTCAGGCCAAAGAAGCAGACAAGCTTTTGCTTGCCACACGATAACGCTAGACCCCATACAAGTTTGGCGACCACCACACACATTGCAAAGTTTGGCTGGACTGTCCTACCACATCCACCTTATAGCCCTGATTTAGCACCTTCAGATTTCCATCTCTTTGGGACTTAGAAAGATGGACTACGTGGGCAACACTTTCCAGACAATGATGCTGTCATTGCAGCTGTAAGAAAGTGGCTAGCCTTTGCTGGCGCAGACTTTTATGGGCGCGGCATACAGGCTCTTGTTAATCGCTGGCAAAAGTGCATAACGAATGGTGGTGATTATGTGGAAAAATAACTGTAAGTAGCTGAAATCTTGCTCTATTTAACTGCATTATTATGCTGTCTGTGTCTGTTGAGTTTTCTTTAAAGAAAATAGGAGGCATTATATAAGGAACGCTGTAATATTTTGTTGTTCTATAGACACCTCACAAGAATAGTTTTGATTTAAATATGGGTGTATACTGACTGTAGTTATATATTCACAGTAATAGTAATAAATTTTAAATTGGAATGTCCAGGCTAAATGAAATATTGCTGTGATTATTTTCCCTTAAAACGAAACTAGTAGCCTTCTCATATAAAACAACTATCTCACAAAATAAATATTTAGCCTTACATTTCATTTGGAATTAACATGTCAATTACAATTAAGTTTGACATACCGTTTATTTCTTCATGTAATTCTTCAGTAAATTATATGTTTTCAATCACAGTAAAGGAAAAGGACTCTTGATGATATAACAGCAAATTACCATACATTAATTGGTCCTTTCAGTGGAATGTAAAGCCTAAGTTCTTGTATAAATATAAAAAGCATGGCTGAACGTTATTAAAATCGTGTATAATGAATCTGCCTAAATGAAACCACAGAAATGGAAAGGCTTTTTATAGAGACAACTTCATATAATTTCCCACTACTTATCATTATAAACTTTCTCTTGTAGCTTCAAAAAATACCATAGAAGACATTTTAGATCTCTTTTATAGTTGTGATAGCATAATTTATTTATGAAGAACTAAGCTAAAGACTCTTTCGTAAGTTTTACTGGATATCTCTAGTTGTGCTTGAAAAATATGTCCAATGAACTTCAACAGTTAACAGAAAATATTTACATGTAAAACAGCATCATTATAGTGTAATGTTTTATGTTTTTACAAAATGAATATAGATCTAATAAACAAACAAAGAAACTCCGTGGCCTGTAGCCCGCAAGCGAGCTATACCGATCAAGCGACCGCTACTTGTCGGCGAAGTAAGTGCCAACAAATATAGATATAATAAACACTTTAGTACATCATATGGATCAAAGCTCTGTTATTGTATTATAAAAGTAAACATTAACTGTTGTATTTCCTTGAAGTTTTCTCCTATATAGATTCAGTTTGTTGGTGCATTCGAGAAGAATATATTTAAAAAGGCAGTATATATAAATCACAAATTTCCTTAAACTCTGCTAATCTTATAGGCCTATGTTTGTACTTGCCTTTCATCTTTTCACTTATACTGGTTCTCTATAAAATTTCTTAATGCATATAGTTTTCTGTGGTAAGTTTCTTCAATATAAGATTTTAACCAATAAATGTGTAACAATTAAACATATTGCATATTTTATTTCACAGTGCATTCAGCTTGCAAGTCACAAGGCATTGTTAAAAATCGTTTTTTGTGTGATTATTTATCAATTGGCGCTCACAATATCTACATACACAGAGTATAAATATAAATATATATATATTATGCCCTTGTACATATTTTAAACAGCGATTCTGGTGGATTGTTCTAGGTTTGAGCTGCTGCTCTTACTTATCAGGACATCATGTTCTGACGGTGATGTCATGACTGTGTGCAATGCATCCCCACTACTACTTACGCTAGCATGCGGAGGCAGTGGGTCTGCTACACTACTGCTGTTTTCATCTATAAGGCCCATCTCAGCATTAACTAATCCATCATATTCACCCTTCACATCATCTGTCTTAATGGGTTTTGTTCCATTTTGAACTTCAACTTGAGCATTCTTCTCATTGTCTGTACTGGACTGTGCTACAGACCCTGAGACACCTAGTGCACAGGGCTGGGACTCATCTTTCCTCACATGTTGTAGAAGCTGAAGTCTTCTGCGTCGTCTCATATGCCATGGCAACAGACAGCACCTGAGAGCAGTGAGCACCAGGCCAAAAATCATAAGGACTCCACCCATGGCCATGAGGTAGTAACGATGTTGATTTGCGTCTGCATTTGGTGACAGCTGGACCAGTCCAACAATTAGCAAAATGGCGCCAAGGAGGAGTGAAACCACAACTAAGTGCGTGACTGACACCTGAAAATCAGAAATACTATATACATTTAGACTACTACTTCTGCTGGAATATTGTGATGATATGGTCTGCACTGAATGAACTCAGGATAAAGTCTTCTGTGAATGCAGTGCTGAGCCTACCAGTTCCTTTAAAGAAGGGAATTTCATATCTGACTGAACAACCTACTGCTTTCAAGGACATAGTTACTTCAATAAAAAATAACTGTTTTTTTTTAACTGAAAAGCTGTTAGTGTGAAGCATGGACTAAGAAAGTATCCAAATTAAGATAAAATGCATGTGTCCCATTTCACTTAAGTACCAGGACACTTGGCAGTATTAAAATAGTTCATACAGAGATTGTGTATGATGTTGTGGACCGAATTCATCTAGTTCAGACAAGGGCTCAGTGACATAATATTTGAACATGGAAATTAAAATGCAATTTTCATATAAAGCAAATAATTTCTTAACTAAGAACTACCAGGTTTGCAAGAGAGAGTTAGTTTCCTGTCAAATTTGTCATGCCCTAAAGAAGATATCAAAGATAAAATAACAGTGATTAATATGCAACCAGATTCCTGAACTACGGAGCTTAACATCTAACAGTATATTATTTTTATTTAATTGTGGTTTATTTAATGGTGCTGGCAGTGCTCTAGTGTGCAATCTGAAATTGTTCAATGGTCAGTGAATGATAAACTAGAAGGGATATGGAAGGAAGTAACTGTAGCCTAATTTGAGGTGCTATCCAGGCATTTGTCTGAAGAGAGTGAAGAAGACAATGAAAATCTTCAGTCATGATCACTAGTCACAAGGACAAGATCTGAACATGAGAACTTAGAATATATAGGTGGAATGCACCTCACAGTAGAATATATATTTGTCCCCCAGTAGTGTGCTTAGACATACCCCCTTTCTATTCTTCACAATCCTGTATGGATATTCTTAAGTTCAACATATGGATATTACAGAAAACTTGATTAAAAAAATACTGCTGAGTCTTGTTAACTACTTATAAATAACAACAAGTATTAATAAATTCAGCACTGCATTCGGTGTTTATTCTGCCGCATCTGTCCCCTCTATCAAGAGTGCTTGTCTCGGGCAGCTCCATGGAATGGTGCGAGTTAGTCCTGGTATACTATCAGCATCCTCGACCTAGGTTCTTCTGAATTCTGTATACCACATCATTTATCTGGGTGACTACTTTGTAAGGGCCTTCCCATGAGGATTGAAGTTTCGGTGATTTGCCTTTCTTGCGGGCTAGGTTATAGAGCCAAACTCTGTCACCCTCGTGGTAACCTGCAGAGTTGGCCAGGTGATCGTACCGATTTTTCATCCAGTCACTAGCGAGCTTCAGGCATTGCTGGGTCGTAATTGTGGATGTCGTACAGATAATCCACTAAGTCTGCTGCATAGTCGGTGGTGAGTAGTTCCTTGTCTGGGGTACCCCAAACAGCAGGTTGCAGGGCAGTCGGAGTTCTGTTCCGAACACTAGGCTAGCAGGGCTCAAGCCTGTAGTGTCGTGAGTGGATGCCCTATAAGCTAGGAGAAAGAGGGGTAACCTCCCATCCTAGTCCCTTTGGTGGGATGCGAAGATCTTCCGCAAGTGCTCCTCGATGGTCTTAATGCAGCATTCCACCATGCCGTCCGACTGTGGGTGCAGGGGCGTGGTGCGCGTCTTGCTCACTCCTAGGAAACTAAAAACTTCTTGTAGCAGACGAGACTCGAAGTTACGGCCTTGGTCACTATGCAACTTTCAAGGTATGCCGAAGCGGCAGAAGCAGTTGGTTACCAGAACTTCCGCTCTTGTCGACGCCTCCTGGTTTGGAATGGCGTAGGCTTCCGGCAATTTGGTGAAATAGTCCATAGCGATCAGTAGGTATCGGTTTCCTTGTTCGCTCAGCGGGAATGGTCCAGCTTGGCCTTTGGCCACTAGTAAGCTGGAAGGACGGCGTCCTGCCCCTGGATTCCATAACGATACCTCTTCCTCTGCCAGTCGCAGCGTTTGGGGCCCTATGTCCACAGATGCATCATAGGCGTGCAGTATGTCCAGTCCCAAGATGAGCTCATCAGTGATATTCGGGACGAAAACCCACATCGTTAGCGATTGGCACCCCAGGGTGAGAGTCAACAGAACTTCTTTCAGGATGGGTAGGGATCCTCCAGACACCGTCTGCAGCGTGAAATCTGGATTTGGCTGCCTTTCAGGCCATCCAGTGGCGATGTCCGGTCTTGCCACTGGTACGTATGCTCCAGTGTCCACCGTCACCTGACACGGTTTATCACCGACCCATCCCTGGGTGACGAGACTGGTGTTGGCTTTTTCCGTGATGTCAGTGAGTGCGTAATGGGGGCGGGGCATTAATGCATATGCCGGCGTCCGCCCCTCTACGCCGGCCCTCGCCCGTTTCCCGCCTGTTGGCCACCATTCCAGCTTGTTTCCCTGTTATTATTGGGTCGCCACTCCGATCTCCTCGGCGATTCTCGTTTGTTTCTTGGTTGTTCATCTTTTTGATTCTGGCGCTGTCTATGTTCACTTTATCTGCTGTAGTTGCAATTGCTTTCAAAGTGCCCCGGCTCTCCACAGCTCCAACATCCTATTATAATTGCTGTGCGTTTCTTCGTAGGTTGGGTTCCTCTGTATGTTCTGTTGTTTTGATGGGGTTTGGCGGCCACGAGTACGGCTTGTAGTTCTAGTGCCTGTCTGAGGACCTCGTTGACTCTCGTCTCCCCTCTTAGCAACAGTTGTACTTTTATGTCGGCGTCTTGTACCCCGTATGCGAAGGCTTTCCCTGCCTCTCTTCCTATGTGGTCTGTAGGTAGATTGGGGTAGGCACGACGGGAAAGCAGTTCAATGGCTGTGGCGAAGTCTTGTAGGGATGCTCCAGGTCTCTGTGTCCTTGTTCTTAATTGGCAGTGGTAAGCAGCTGCAAAGTGTTGGTCCCTGAATCGGTCCTGTAGTGCCTGAAGGGTATCCTCGTAAGTTGTATTCGTCGGAATGCCGGGTAGCACGTCTGCCGCCCGGCCCTTCAGAGCAGTAATCAGGTATGTCGATTTTTCCCAGTCCGACCATTGGTCGTATTCCGCTACTGTCTCAATCAATGGATTGAGATTAGCTCTTTCTAAGGGGCCAAACTGAGTAGGCGTCTTCCTTTCTCACTTGAAGACGGAAAAAGAGCAAGTTTCCGAAACGTCGTGTCCTCTATTACTTAGAATTCCGGACGATGGGAAAAGTAAAAAAAGATAGTAATTCTGTGTCTCATATTTCTTGATTGGATTGCCCAGTAAGTGGATATAACACAAGCACACGCTGAGTTTTCTTTTACAATTTTCTGCGATGGTGAAAATAATTTTTCTTTTTGAAGTGACAAGTATCAAGTGGTTTTGCATGATTCCAAACTGTCTTTAATATTTTTTTTCTCTGCATTCCTTTCTTAAGGAAGAAAGTAGGCCGATAAGGTATAATGCTGCTGTGTATGTCCCATATTAAACTTTTGAATCAATTTACCGCTTTTCCCAAAATCTGATATGAAAATTATGCCATGCTAATGTACCCGAATATTGTGTTTTCCAATTTCCTGGTCTCTAATAACAACATATCAGATGCGCGACCATATGAAATAGAAGTAACAATAGCGATTCTCAGTATCGGATAATTAGATGACCTATGTAATACACCCTGCCAAAATATGCTATTTTATCAAGTTTCTCTTTTGTAGAATGTGAAACAACGACAGCTACATAAAAACTATACAGGGGTGACCAAAATATTGAAAACTAAAAAAATTGAGGAACAGACTTTATGGTGGCTACTTTGAAAGAATTTCAAACACTCAGCATTCCTCTTTCATTTGTTTACATTTTTAGTGCTTGTGTCAATGTATTGCTGATCTTAGCGATTGTGTTGAGTGACAGTCCGGGTGAAAGAATCGGAAAAGGGAGACTTCTCCGATTTTGAAAGAGGACAGATCATTGATGCGTGTTTAAATGGCGCATTTTTGACAAAACCTGCCGCATTATTAGGTGCGTCGAGAGGCAGTTTTCTCGGGTTGAACATTGCGGAATATTCAGTAAATTGTGAACTATACTTTTAACTCGGTCTGCTGCCTGCCACTCGTATGTTTGTATGAATTCTGTCGACATTCAAAATGTAGTACAGTGAATATGTCACTCTAATGCGCGTGTTCTAGTTTCAATCACAGACCTGTATGCAATGTGAAGTGGATCATTTACCTTGCCACAGACGTAGAACTCTTGGAGTATATCGTCATTCTGCGTTGGTGGACTCTGCAGAGGACTGGGGGTTGGTGATGATCCCCTGCTTGGCGGCGAAGGGTGCTTTAACCCATATCCGCCTAAATACAGCTGACTTGGTCGCTTGTTTCTCTTCTCCTGTTTCCGTCGCTCGTGACGAACTGCCACGGCTGGCATTGCTCCAATCATGTTTACGCCTGGCGGCAAGAAGGTGAAAACGTTCTCAAACAGTATAATTTGATCTTGCAGTGTTGCATGCTGTTTGTGGTGCTTACAAATAAAAATAAAGAGGTTTACCCGGCACACAAATGT